GAAACAGGTAGATCATGACGTGATGCACAAGTTCAAAGGTCGCGTGCGGCTGGTGTTTTACCGTGAGACAGCTGCACCTTCAAGTTCAGGGTGGTTCTTTGTCAGCCGCGGCGAAAGTCAACCTCTTGCAAAGGACAGAGTGGCAGTATGTGAAAATTAGCCGCCCTTGAGAATCGGGGCGGCCTGCCTCTCGTCCCCCAGCAGATGAAGTAAATGTTCAGTTTCTAGGATTCCCTCTTGGCAGCAATATATATATATATACCCAAACCGCGAATTTTCACCGAGCTGACATTGGGGCCCCTTCATCAGTCGGTTGGAGGGCAAAGCATCGCCTCGCAACAATAGTTGACTGCACGCTGGACCAGATTGATAAAAAGATTCATCCTTTCAATGCCTTTCAAAGATGCGACTCCAAAGGCCCAGACAACTCCCTTCACTTGGGGCCTCCCAGTCAACTGCCCAACCGCATCCCCATCTGAGTGCCAGGCTTCTGCCAGACGCTGGGCATTCCTGAGGAGCTCTCTGAGAAATGCCTTCCCCGCCCCTCCGCAGAGATTCAAGCTACGCAATACTAAGAACAAACAAAACACTGCGATGCTTCGGGTTAACCAGAAGACATTCTGGATCCGGAGGGCTAACCAGAGGCTTGAAGGAGCCGGACCCGGATCGTCTTCGACCCGGCACGCTTCAGTTCTCGTTGCAGAAGCCGTTGGGGCAACATCGAGAAAGGAAAGGATTCATCTGCAAAACGAACTATGAAAATCATTCGCTCACAAGCGAGAGCCGGAAGACGCTGTGCGCTTTGCTCCGAAGTGTGTAACTGGCGAAAATATGTCGATGTGATATATGTTTCAAGACCAATGATATAAAGCTTCTGACCACGACCACCACGCATCACATGCTATCAATGTCCACGATCCTGCAGCATGATGTTGGCGCGGTTATCATTGTCGCTTGCGGCCAAGGTCCATCACTTGCATGGTCGATCACCCACTCCCCCCCCCCTCAAGCAAAGGACTGGCTTCGTAGTGTTTCATGCAATCAAATAGATGATTCTAACTAGAATCCATGCACAAAAGTCCTTGCAACGATCTTCAGCTCGAAAGGAGCCAATTGCAGCCAGTTGCGCGCTGTGCAGGAACCACATGGCACCTCTGGTTGCTTGTTTACTGGGTTGTTTTGAAGGGGAAACAAGAGGAAAATCAAAAGCTTCGGTCTCAAAAATACGGAGCCGTGTTGGGGTGGTTTTAAAGGAAACCACCAGCAAAACAACCAGTTTTGGGGGGTCCAATTCCTATTCCGAGACACACCCAACTTGCATGTTGGGGTGTCGAAATCCACAAAAACCTTGGGAAAAAAATGAAAAGCCAGATTGCACACCCTAACCTGGGCCTGCCCCTGTTGTCCCACATTTCTCCCATGTCTCAGACGTGGAGAACTGGGCGGCCCGGCGAGGGCTGCGCCGCCGGCAGCATCCTCCGCTCCAGGGGCTGCGGAGGCCTCGGAAATGTTCGAAGCTCGAAGTCCGCGGATCGCCCATGTCGAGCGGTCCAAAAGCCCAAAACTTCATACCAGGTTCCAAAAAAAGAAAGAAAAAGAAAGCGGCTACAGGAAATTCTGCAGGAAATCCCTGCTTTTGGTGGGTAGCTTGCAACCAGCTACATGGTTGGTTGCCAATGTTGACCCCATATAAATCAACCCCTGTGTATGAAATAAAGGTGGGTTTAGTGGGGAATCTGGAGGGGAACCCCCTATTCATAAACTGGGGTCGATTGTTATGGGGTCAACATTGCCGGGTTCCCTTGAAGGAAAACAAATTAAACCTGGGTTCCCTCAAAAGTATGGCACAAAAACTTGCTGGTGCAATAGGTAGGGAGGTTTCCTACTGTGGATGGTTGCGAAATCCATTTTGGGGTCCCCGAAAAAAAGATACCCCCACATCTCTTTCTTCACAGTGAATGGTAAACTTGCTGCTGCGATAGGTAGGGAATGTTTGGACATGTCTCCAACCCGCGAATGCGGGATGAGGAGCTCTTCGTTTGGACATGAACCGTTTTGAGGTCACCTTAAAGGAAACCACGAGTTGGATGATTTATCTCGGGGTCATTCCATTGCTCATTCCCTGCCTATCGCACCAGCAAGTCAAACAGGGTTCTCTATGGGTGTGTGTCTGTGTATGGTACCGGCACCCTTTTCGGGTTTGGTTTAAAGGGAAAAGGACCAATATTTTGGGATGGTTGCGAAATCCGTTTGGGGTAGGCCCGAGTATCGAGAAGGGGTGGAGTGGCTTGAAGGAGGGTTCAAAGGGAGGGTTGGGGGTTTACGGTGGATGGTTGCGGTTCCCTTTTTCTTTCGCGGAATTCAGAAGGTTCGTTGCCTTGTCCGGCGGGAGGATGGAACACCGCTCTTAGGGGGACTTTTTTAACGGGCAACAAGAGTCCAAAAGCCTGCCTACAGACGGACAGCACCCTACTGTGGATGGTTGCGAAATCCATTTCGCACCACAGTGCAGAAACCCAAAGGAATGATTCGATTCCCAACGTAAATACCAACAAACAATGATTTCAACCATGGTTTCATAATAGTGCAGGATTTCGTCCATCCACAGTAAGGGTGTGTGTGTGTGTGTGCATGCGGGTGTGTGTGGGTGCGTGTGGGTGGGTTTGTTTTTGAGGGTGCCCTTTTCGGGGCTTGTTTAAAGGGAAAAGGAATACTTTTGGGGCTCCTTTGACACATCCAATATGTTCATTGTAAAACATCACCCCAGCCAGAAAGGAGTTCCTTTCGGCTGAAAGAGAAAATCTAGGGAACAGTGTCGCAGACAAATTCGTTGGACAAAAATCCACTTCGTAGCAAGTGAGAGAGTCTGCTTTGGCGGGTACCCTTTTCGGGCTGGCTTCAAAACGGAAACCAAACGGAAACCAACCATTTTGGTGGTCCCCTAGAAACAAAACGAGCCACCGGTGGTGAAGCGCCAATTTGTTTTCGCGGATTTCATCCATCCAAAGGATTGAGATGTAGGCCTGTCTTGATGCACCCACGACTTGGTGGCCAAAAGTCTGCTCGTTCACTTTGGACCCCCGGATTCATGGACAAGGCCAAAGCGCTCTCTCTGCCGAATTCTTGCCGCCAGCTTTTGTTTTTTTTGGGGGGAAGAATGCAGCAACCCGGCGGCAACCCGGCGGAGCGAGCCGGGGCTGTAGCTCTGGTGTGATTGACACCAAACCAGCAATGGTCCTTCGCGCGTCGCTTGGTTCACCCGTTTGATCAGGTCCTTCACATCGGACCAATCGGTCGGAAAACCACTCAGAAGGATCAACCTTCCAAAGGGTTACCTCGTGCCGCCTTGCAAAGGGCCAAGGGCCTTTGTCGCAACCCGCGCTCCTCTGAGTCCTCGGATGCCTGGCGAGGATTTTTTTTACGGTGGCGCGGAGGCTTGGAAGGGACATGGCCATGGGTCAAAAGCCCGGTTAGCCCCAGGGAACATCCCAATCCCCACTAAAATAGGTTCTAAATCGGTGGTCCACCTACCCCAAAATGGTACCATTGGTTTTGACCCACAGCCACATCGAGAACAGCTCCAGGGGTGTCAAATGCAATGATGAACTTGTTGCCGCCTCTTTCAACTTGTATACTCCAGCATTGCGGTGCGTTATCCTCAGGGGAACAAACAAAGAACCAACAGAGAAGGAAGGCTGCAAAACAAGTCTGCCAAAAAACACACCACGCCCGTTCTCAAGTCGCAAGAAAGCAGCCGTAAATAAGTTCAAAGGAGCGAGAACTCGGAACAAAAAGGAAAACACAGCGAAACGAAACTCAGAAGAAGCTGTCGGCGCGGGTGACTTCCGAACTTGAGGGCGTGTCATGCAACAAGTCTCCAGGGCAGCAGCTCACCCCGGCCTGGTGAGCAGGGAGTCTCGACCTGGGCAATGGTTGGCAGGCGCAAGAATGGAAATCAAGGCCTCAGCCCCTGTTCTCTCTCCTTTCGAAGTTCCCAGAAGGGTCCCCCGTTTTGGACCAGTCGACTTTCACACTGCTCCCTCCAACAAGCGGATTTCGCAGTTCTCGATAAGAGAGGACAGCACGGAGCAGTGTGGAAGAACGTCGACCCCTGATTGATAAACCCCTGGTTGTGAAGTTCTACAGTAGCATTGGAAAAAAATACAAGAAAACACTTAACATAGCACAACTGAACATGAGATGACAAAAATAACCTCCAAAACAACGTTCAACTTACTGGGACTATTGGATGCGAACTGGTACTGAACAAATGTCCTTGTCCGAGTGTTTTTGTGGCTCGCTGAGAGCACGGCAGTTTTCCTGTCGAGCTGCTCCAGTCATCCTGGCCCACGTGCCCAAACTTGCATCATGTCGGTCGGGGACAAACCTGAACAACATTTGGGTATGGTTTTTAATCAGGGACCCTTTGGTGGACAAAATTTAGGTGGGGATTCATGTCCACCAACCTCTTTTCAAGGGTTCCCCCCAAAAATTAATGGCCATGTGCTGTCTCATGAATCTCAGCTGAGTGAAGCTTTTGGAAGCTTGACTTGGATTTTCGGGCGCCTTCAGGCTGTCTGAAGCGGCTTTTTTCCCAACCATCAGCCTATGTTTCGGCCCCTGACCGCTTGGCCCCGGATTTTGACCAGCCAAGGAGCCACGGGAGGAAAAGACAACGGTCTTTAGGGTCTTTTTCTTTGAGAAACATCCATTTGTCCCCTGCCGCAAGGATCAGAAAAAATGATCCCCATGTGCACACATCTGTCAAGGTTCCCTGTCCAGACGAGGGAGCTGCTGGTTTGAGAGACGGGCCACGGTTTGTGGGCGCTTTGTTTTGGGGGGCTTCATGGAGATGCATCGAAAGGAACTGGGCTGCATGCCGATGTCGAAAAGTAACATGGAGAAGCCAGGTTTTGACTCATCACCACACAGCATCAGTGGTGATCACGCACACAGGAGCAAGGGTGTAAGTCGCTGCCAGTGCCTTTCACTTTGCCGCACTCAGTGAAGATCGATTGACTTGACGCGCGCACAGCACCTTCCCAAAGGACTCTTGCTTCTTCGGGGAACATGTAGCAAATACCGAGATTAATGGAGCTGATCTTAGTCCATGTCCATGGCTTTTGCTGCCGCGTTCTTCGCTGGCAGGTTACATCGGTTGCTGGCTGGATTGAAAGGTCCGCCCGGAGCATGCTGCAATAGTGCTGGGTGCAACTAGCCGGCACAACTCATGCTATTCATGCGCACGGACTTGATTTGCCTCTCTCCCGGGTCTCCAAGCCTGCGGTGAAGGTTGTTTGACCCAGTCAAGTGGAGAGCCTCTCTGAATCAAGGGAAGACAAAGCTGGATTGAAGCTTGCATGACAGGTTGGCCCCAGGATTCCAGGCTTTACCCAAACCGAGGGTGAGTGGTCCAAGTCTCAAATGACCGGTGAGCGCATCTTCACTGCTCGACAAAGCAGAACGGCGCCCACTACCCTCCCGAAAAACAACGCCAGCAGCACCCCGAGGTGGCAGCCTCGCACGAGGCGTCTTTTTGCGCCCGCTCCGAGGGCGCTGCTGGTGTATCGCGGGGTCTTTGGTGTCGAACGTTCCATGGCAAACGCAGAGATTGATGGGACACCCCGCATGACCGTTCTTTCCTGCCAAAACAAGCACAAAACCCCAGCTTGCCCGAGTCGTGCCCAACCATTTGAACAACACCTTCGAACCAAGTGTTCAAAATGATTCTTGCTTTGACTAAAGCAGGAAGGATTGACCTTTCTCGCGCCGCCCCTTCCTCCCGGTCCCCGCTCAGCCCATTTTGGCTGTGTGTCTTGTAGGGGACCCCGCAAAATCATGGTTTTCCTTCTGGCGTTTCCTAAAAGAAAGACACACCGACTCGTGGCGGATGGGAGGTCAGCAAAGCCCCCGAGTCCCTGCCTGCTCACCTAGCCATGGGCCACCTCGGGCAGGCGAACTGAGCACATTTGAAAGACTGGAAATGTCTCGAACCAGGCAACTAAGAGGTTTAACATGTTGGTGATGCTAAACATGAAAAAGCACTTACGCGTGGTTCTTCTGATCGAGAAAAATCTGGCTCGCCCCTGCTTCACCGACCGCAGGCTGCTTTGTAGCAGTGTGGATCCGCAGGACACGGTCCTGCAAGGTCTGCATCTTGTGATTGGCGTGCCACCGCTGGATACGCAAGTCTTAGTTTTGACCAGTGGTAAGCAGCGGAAGTTGGTCGTGCCGCGTCAGCTTGGCCGCCGTCAGCCTCTACTCTTGATGCTTCATCCGCGTGAAAACAGTGAATCGAGCATAGTGGTCCAAGCAGGACGGCTTGCTCTCTTGCATCCGCGTGGCACAGGATCAAGATCTCACCACCTTTTCGTATCCGCAGCTAAGTCTGCAGATCATGCACACCTAGTTCCAAAGGTGCACGTGGGTGTCTGTTGTGAGAATACCCGTTTTGGGTTGGCAAAACAGGTAAACCAAAAGGAAAGCCACAATGCTTTTAGGGAGTCCCTAAAAAAGAAGCACCCGTCTGTCATTGACGGGCAAACATGAGAGAGAGAAACCAGCTCAGGTTGGCGGCACTTGCCACCCAAATAGCCAGGCCTCTGCGACATGTCAAATCCTATTTGATGGCGGACCGCCGAGTTTGAAACCTGCTGAAGCAACTGTTCAACACAGAAAAAATGAGAAGAAGAAAAATGACAATCGCGTTCCAAGGAAACCTTCCACTAGAAGAAGTGTAATGATCTAGCTTCCTAAAGTTGAAGAGTGCTGGCGTTGAGGTTTCTCAGCTGAGCCGCCCGGCCCACAACTGTTCTTCTCCCAAGGCGCGCCGGGCAGAAAGTTGGGCACAAGAGGGTCGTGGCACACGTGGTTGAAAAATTGGGGCAATGGATTTCGTTCTTGGATTTGGAACAAATCATGAACCGAAAAATAGATGTGCATCGAGCTTCCAAAGGGAGGGGGAGATGATATCTCAACCAGCTACCCTGGAGCCGAAAAAGCGATCGCACGCCATTCTCGAGCATCGTGCCAACAAGTACCTGTTTCGGTGAATGGAATGCGGGCCTACACTGGCACAAGAACGGACTTGTAAGCTACCATCTGCAAGACCAAAAGATACTGCCAAGTAGATTGTCAAACGAACCAAGCGCTCAGTTGCATGCCTCCCGTACAATCAGATGTGCTTAAGAAAAGCGTGTCCTTAGATGTTATCTACCTTTAGGCAGGTCAGATTTCAGGACTCCGCACTAGGTGGATGTTTGCTCTGCCGTTTGCTTCGATCTGTCAGTTATCCACGTCTTCCACTCCTCGTCCGAAACACAAGGATCCCAAAAAAACTCCCACAATCACAAATAAAGCCCTGAAAGATGGTTGCCTTCTGGTTCAGCCTTTGGTCCAAGCCTTTCTAGTAATTTGCCGAACCTTCAAGAGAAAACCATACCAATAATTTATTTAATAAATGTCCATAAATGGTGATCCGATTGGGGAGACACCATACCATTGGACCAGATTGGGCTTTGAGTTCCCAAGAAGCCACTGGAAGGACTGACGTGAGCCCTCGGAGGGCTCGTCTCGTTTTTTTTCGGCCCCTTTTTGCAACAGGTTGGGCCGGCCTGGGCGATTTTTTCCCGGGTCCCGGGCGCCTGGAATCCAGAGCGGTTTCAGAGCAGTCAACCAAAGGAAACCGCCAAACGTTGAATATGGGTCTGTCTTTTTCGAGGGTATCCCTTTTCTGTAGTGTTTGAAGGGAAACCAAGAGGAAAACCACCTGTTTGTTTGTTTGTGTTTTTTTTTTGGGGGGGGGTCCCCCAAAAACAGACACACACACACATATCCAAAACCAATGATGGAAATATGCAACTGGGAAACCATCAACTTAGCTTTGTTCCAGACCCCAGGCCTATGTACAAAGAGCCAATGCCTTCGGCATGTCTGCGGCCCAAAAAGGCGCAAAGCGAGTCTATGGCTCCGCGCTGGCGTTAACGTTCCCGGCCTTCCTCTCCTTGTCAAGTACCCGCCCCCCCAAAAGGGTGTTCACTTGGCCTTCTTCGGCCGCCTCATCGGCCCCTTTCGACGCCACTGCGCCTAAGTTTTTTTTTGGGATTGGGGAAACGGTCTCTAAAAAGGGGGGCCTTGACAACGATAGGAGGCCAGGCCACCTCGACACTTCCGGTCGATCTGCACCAAGATGTCTGCAACATTTCCTCGGCGATCACATGGAGCAGGAGGCAAAGGGGTCCAACAGAAAACTGCTGATGGGAGGCCCGAAGTGAAAGCGTGGAAGCTGCATCGCATGGTTCTAGCTTGAAAGAAGAGTCAAGCACTGTTTCGAGAGCTTGGTTTTGCTTTGGTGTGGCCCGTTTTTTGCTTCGGCTTTCCTGGTGGAAGGCTGCTTGCCTGCGTAGCATGATCACTGTGATGTTCCTTTGGCTATTTTTGCTCGGTTGGTAATCTTTGCTTTTGGAATCTAGATGTTGGGATCAGAAGAGTGCGACTTTGATGCAGGCTGCCTGCTTCGGCGCCAAGCGGCTAAGCGCTGTTTCAGGGGATGTTGGTGGAATAGCAGTTGGTGCAGAGTTGTTCGCTTGAGATTTCCTTTGAGGTGAGGCGTCAGGTAGATCAAGCATGCTGTCATTGGCTCACTTCAAGCTGCTTTCGTTGCTTAAAGGGAACACCACCTACTCATCCAGAAGGCCAAAAACCCTACAACTCAATTTACACTGTGTTTCAGTGCCTGTCGATGCGCGATATGATGTGACTCATAAGCTGACGTTGGGGCTTGTTCGGTTTAGGAACTTTTGCTTGAGGGGTATGATTCTGCAGGTCCAGGCAGTGTTTCAACCAGCTAAACTTCGAGACTGTGCCAGTGGATTGACCATAGACGGCCAGCGGAGGGAGGGGGGGGCTCTGAAAGCACAGCCTCCAGATTAGGGTGGCGATGTAAGTTGCTTTACGAGGATGTTGTAAACCTGCACAGTGCACATTGCCTTTGGGCATCGCCACGGTACCTCTCGTAAACTAGGACACAAGCATTCCAAACCTCGCGTGCATTCCATAGCCTCCACGTTGGTTGGGGGCATTTGGGCCAGAAGGCGTGTGATGATCAACACTCAATGGGTGAGGAAATGCCAATCCAGGCCTTATTAGAAAGGCTCCATCCTGCGCGAGGCTGACTTGCCGAACAGCTTCCGCGAGTGTTCACAGCTTTCAGAAGCAAGTCTCAAAGGCACGCTGAGAAAAGCCCGCCCGTACTGAACTGACGGGTGTGGCTCAGACACAGGGGCAAATAAAACCCTGGTAAGAAAAGCGGTCCCCTGGAAATTAAATCCGGTGTGGAAATCTCGCCACAATGGTGCAGTCCAAGCCTCTCAGCTGCCCACATCCGCCTGAAGCCAGAATCGAAGAGGCCGTGCCTGCCGGCATGCGCCGAAGCTGCAGGGTCACCGCCTATCGAAAACGATGTGCCCAAAGGCATCCCTCAGCTTTTGTGGGGACGTGGAATGTGACAAGACCCTTCGAACCCAGCAAAGGTGATCTTGTGAACTTTGGCCAACTCATTTTCGTAAGTTGGGAGCGTTGCTCCTCTCATCCTTGGAAGTCAACATCACGCGCATGCTGTCTATGAAACATATGAACGTCAGCTTGCAAAGGGCCGAACCACGTCTTGAACACGTCGGGTCATGACATGTCAGCTTCAAACAATGTAAATAGCTGGCATGCGTCAGCTTCAGAGATGTGTTCCCTCCGCTGGTCACGCAAACATGTGGTGCCAGGACACTTCACCTCATGGGTTCCCTGCCGCGCAAACTGTTGAACCTTTGATGTGTCAACTTCAGAGATGGATTCCCGGGCCCTGTGAGCACAAACATATCGCGGACGTTGACCCCTTGGTATCAAAATGCAGCGCCGAGCGCCTCATTCCCCTTCCCTCCCCCCCTTCCCGGTGATAAGCGCATGCTCATCAGCTCCAAACGAACCCATGGCTCTCAGCTGCCGGCCCCCTCCGGCGAAATCATCGCCCGGACCTCCTGTCAGCTGCGGGGCTACGAATCCGAAAAATAGCAGCTCATAATCTGTTCCATCCAACGGCAAGATCAACCTTCGAGTTAAGGATTGTTTAGGGTTCCCTACGGCGACCACTTGGATTCACAAAAGGCGCTCGGTCTGAAAACAAAGTCTCTATGCGTGGGACAGCAAAATGAGGCTTGGCAAGCACGGTAATGTGCTGCGTTCTCAACGACCAAAGCTGGCTCCCACCCAGATGCTCTCTAGCAGGGTGTGTGCCCTGCAAACCGGCTTCTCATCCAAATCATTGGGATCCCGAATGCTGCAAGAATGGTGAAGGGCATCCTGCACCAAGCTGCAAAAAGCATCCTGCGTTCATCCCTGCCCAAGCAACCCAACTGAGAAGGATTGCACAATGAAACACCATGCGGGTAGGCACTGGCCGTCTGGCTTGCTTTTGACCTTCCCAAGGAACCCAGCCGCCAAATGGAAACCAACTGGCAAACCTGATGAAATCATGGCTTGACTGGTGATTGGGCCTGGATAGTCATTCACCTCGGATTGGGTAATTTGCAGCTCGCATATCGGACTCGAACTGGGACCGGCGAGCTTCCATTGTTACCTTGCTCTGGTCTGCCAGGTTTTGTGTCAAACCCGACTTTGCACGGTTTGACCGTGGGCCCTGACCTCGAGGGTCATCTTCTTGGCAGATTTGCCGCCCATGGATAGCACTTCCTCAGGCGCCAGTCGGTTTGTCACTCAGGAGAGATGTGTCGTAGCCTCACCGAAAGCCCACAGAACCCTGTCCACGTGGAATCAGAGAAATCCTGCTTTAGGGCAAGGAGGTTTCCACCCCGAAACCTCCGGCTCCATGGCCATGGGTCAAAATCCAAATCGAACCTCCAGTGAACATCCCAATCCCCACCAAAATAGGTTCTAAAATGGGTGGTGAGTTCACCAATCCCAACCAAAATGGAATCAACCAAAACGGCTTTGACAACCACAGCCCCGCAACGGAAAGCCGAAGCCCGGGGGCCCGGGCGTTGCCCACCGCCAGCTGGTTCCGCGCGGCCCAGGAGTTCGGGCGCACCGCGCTCACGATGAAGCTGGCGCGAGGGCAAGCGCAAGCACCGCGTCCAATGGAAACCCCAGGATCCAAGTAGGACCCCTGGTTGAATTTTGGGGGAAGGGGAGGAGGGAAGGGGAGAGGAGTGAGAAGGGAGGGTTTTAGTGGGAATCCGGATCACTTTTGTGGGAATAGAAACCCCCCTATTCATAGGATGGCGTTATTCATCCGGGGTGAACACTAAAAATAAAAAACTATTTTGCGCTTTGTAGTGATGGGGTAGGTCTCAGACTGGCGAAGTCTGGTCAGAATCACGGCTTCACCGACAAACCGAACCAGTGCAGTGCGGAGGCATCCAACCAGGGACCCGCCTCGCGCAGCTAAGGCGTTCGTGAAGTTAGGCCGTTCAAGAAATGGAAATAGGCAGTGCCGCTCATTGAGAAACTTGAGCTTCTCAGAATGATGGCTGGAGTTAGGCCTTGATGTTTTTAATATCCTGACCCTCGTGCATGAGCAACCGAAACTCACGGCTGCGAGCGCTTCCACTGACAACCAGCATGAAAGTAGATGCCTGCATCAGAACATTCGCCCTTCCCTCACGCCAAATGCCATGTGGCTGGTACCACTTGCCTGACTGAAAGCACCTCATGTTGTGCCGAACAGCTCAAACTTGTCCAATATCTCATCTCAAATCAATACAAAATCATGACTTGGGTTCTGCCATTTTCCAGGGGACCCCCCAAAAAATCAAAAACAAAAAACGACAAAACGGCTTTTGCTTTGGGTGTCCCTTTAAACCCGTCCAAAACATGGGGGTACCAACCCCGAAAAAACAACGAGACGAGGCCAGGCGCCTGCCGGCGCCCGGCGCCACCTCGAAGCCCAGTTCCTTGTCCTGGCCAACACCATCAGATGGGGACCCCGAAAAGACCCGCCAGAAATCCACATCCCACGCGTCAGCTTCCCTCGACTTGGTGGCTTTCCAAGCCGAATCGGTTGGGCAGTTTTCCCATTTGCCCGAAAAAGAATCAGGGGTTCAAATCCAAATCCGAACGGACCCCAAAAAAGCCTTCAGGGGCCAGAAAAAAACGGGGAACCGACTTCAAAAATCAGCTTCCCTCAAGGTGGAGCTTGAATTGGTGGAACAGCATCAGCTAGTGATACCAAAGTGAGCCAATCCTATGACTTTACAGGGGAAACTCCCTAGCCTTGGTGGAAGTGGCTAAAATAACATATTTCCTCAACATTCAGCTTCCCTTGTTTTGGGGTGACTTGGAGAACAAACCCACCAGGGGTTCAAATCCCACAAAAAACGGGCTGCCTTCAAATTGGTGGAGCCGAGCCTAGCGGTTTGGCGGGCGAAACAAATCCAAACCAACAATTAAGGGAGCCTGACATGGGGTATACAACCATACGATCAGTGGGTATATAATGAAAACACAAGGGGCAAAATGAGTACGCAAATGATCATCTTGTGAACATGACTAAATATATTTTTAAGTACCCCATCCAATGCTTTTAGGCCCTTGTATTACCGCGGATGTTCAGGTAGAAGTGTGCCCCAGTGGATAAAACCAACGGCTGGATTGAAGCTCTGGTGCCCCAAGGTGAGAGAAATGAGCATGCACTCTGACTCGTGGGTTTGTGCTGTGCCCTTTTTTGTCCATGTGTGTTGAAGCTTGTCAAGCTGGGGGAGCTTGCCCAACCAAGAGTCGGGAAGAGGAGGAAGTTCTGATGGGAACCAAGCAAAGCTGAAAAGGAGTCAGGCCATGAAACTGCAATCCAGCAAGCAGTTCCATGTCATGTAGGCTGTATAAGCACTCAACAAGGCCGCGTCCTGTAGGCCCGCATTCTTCTCCTGAATCCCGTCATCCGAGTCTGAGTCCTCCTGGAATGACAAGGGGCTGAGGATGCAGAGCAGCAGCAACCGATCATGCCGGGCAAAACAAAAATGGGCGCGCGGCCCTGGAAGGAAGGAGCTTCACATTCAAGCATGCGCAAGCAATCCTGACGCCGTGGCTGCTTTGAAGCCAACATCAGCCATGTGGCTGTGATTTTTGATAGGGAACCACCTCACCAGCGGTGGGTGGACTTGAACCTCAGAACTCTGATGTCCATCATTTCGAGTCCCGAATTAAAACTCATAGGCATATCAGTCTGGACAACCTGGCCGAGAAGTTGCTGGCTCCTCCAAAAACTTGAGATCTTGTGTTGTGGGCCCCTGTGCTCAATACAAGTGCCACAAATTGAGGTGCCGAAAGAGCCCCTGTTCTGACCCCATGTCTCACGGTCCAAATGCCCTGCCCCACGCATTTAAGTCTCTGGGCATCCAGCCCACGTCCAACCAACCATTCTCCAACCGCAAAACCAACCCACCATCCAAGCATCCAAGCATCCAAGCATCCAACCAACCAACCAACCAACCAACCAACCAACCAACCAACCAACCAACCAACCAACCAACCAACCAACCAACCAACCAACCAACCAACCAACTCCAGTGAACCAACAACATCCAACCGCGAAACCTGCAAAAAGCCCCGCCTCTGCCATGCCCCGGGGCGCGGTGCGCTCCGAGGGCCGCGGCCCGGCGGCTTTGGCGGGCGCCTGGGGGGATGTCTTTCTTCGAGGCTACCCCGCCTTGGGGTTGGAAAAAGGAAACCAACAAGCCTCGCCTGTGGGTTTCCCCCAATTTTGAACTCAAACCTTGGTTGCTTGGTGGTTGATTCTGTGACAAGCTATTTTGTGAGTTGCTTCGCAGCCGTTCGTCCGGGCCATAGGAAAGGGATGGAGGGGGTATCAACAGAATACCTTGCCTCGGATGGCCAGCCAAAACGGACCAAGTCCTGTATACAAATATACCTCAGAACTCTGCCCAAGAATTGACTGGATTCATTCAACTTCCAACGGCGATGTATTTTGATTGGAGCCTCGGAGCAAAACAGCAAAGGCACCCACGCTTCTCAAAATATTGTTGCGCAATGAAGACAGTAAAATGAGGTAATTAGAAGATCCTTTCAAAGTGAACACTGGACTCACCGATGCTGTCCCAGAACGGTTGGTTCACTGATGCCTTAGCCACCAATATATAGCTGTCTGCACGACATGTGACACTCTTATGACAGGGGTGGTGTCAAGAATCCTCAACCAGCCTTGCCATGTACGACAAGATTCTTTGTCCACCATTCCTTGCTCTGGCGTTGTTCCCGAAGATCGCATTTATGATACACTGTTGTGTGTGTGTGTGTGTGTGTGTGATATGCTTCCAGCAAAGCCTTACGCAAGGGCATGCAACTCCTGACTGGAGCGCCGTAAGCAAATCATTCTCTGACACCAGTACTATGACACGCTTCTCCTCGACTCATCAACAGCTCTCAATCACTGTGTAAACGGTATTTATAAAGCAAAGCAAGATATATCCCAAATGAGCAGGACTGGTTGATTTGTTTTTAGCTCCAATATCCATAGGCTCAAGGAGCGAAAAGAACCACCCCCTTCTGACATCCATGGATGTCACAACTGTCTTTTTTGATATTGGACCACAGGTGGCAATGGATGCCAAGCCATGAGCAGTTCATGGCTCGCTCGCCTTGGGCTTGGGCGGCGGCGGCTTTCGCGGTGCAGCAGGTTTGGGTGCGGGGCTTGCGGGGGCGGGGCTTGCGGGGGCGGGGCTTGCGGGGGCGGGGCTTGCGGGGGCGGGGCTTGCGGGGGCGGGGCTTGCGGGGGCGCTTGCGGGGGCGGGGGCGGGGCTTGGAGCGGCCGCGACCGCCGCCTTGGGCAACGAAGCAGGGGGGTTTTCAGGTGACGCAGGCGGCGTGGCCGGCGAAGCGGGCGACGTGGGCACCTGGAACGAGCTGCGCTTCGGGGCGCTCGGAGCTCGAGATTGTGTTCCATATCCCGTTTGTCGCTTGGATCACTTCCGTGTGAGAATGACACTCCAAAACTCGTGGAATGTGGACCCTCATGGACACAGCTTTCACTGAACGGCCGAGCGAAATGCTTTCTCGCTGGACTTTGATTTCAGGGGTATACAGGCAAAGCAAAAGCTTGGCATCCCACGGTCATGCTCCATGCTCCCCATGTCCTCATGGCCCAGAAGATGAAACTCTTCTACTTCACTTGTCCAAACGGAAGGTTTCAAGGTCGCGCGATTTCAAGAGGCGTTTTTGAGTATAGGCATCAAGACAAGTCCGTTCCATAAAGGAATCTCCTGACCTTGCGGATGTGTGAAACTCACTCGCCAAGATTCCCCTAAGATGGAAATGGTGGACTCGTGACTGCCTTTTGACGTTGACCAATTAATATGGGTGTGTCCCTGGCTTTTGTGGGGGTTCATCGCTTTCAGTGGGGAAGCAGGAGGTCGACATTATGAGGATCTTCATGACGGTCCAAAGCTGTTCAAGTCAAAAGCCACATTCTTGACCCTTTTCTCAGTACTCCCCACATGCGCCTCCTCTTCTTGGCTCTTGCCCTGCGTCAAGCGGCGACTAATTACATCACGCGAGTTGTGCTTGCCTTCATCTCCCCGACCGCATGCAACGCGCACACTCAGCTTCCCAACCAGCCGGCTGTTGGACAGTGCCAAGAACCAAGGCTCGATGGTTGCGTCAGACTTGTTCGCTTGACCACTCCTGAAACAAGGAACTTTTAAAGCCAAGCCATTCAGCAAAAAGTCAAACTTCGCGAGATACCAAGGATTTTGCAACGAGGCGTTTCCCAAAGACAGTCTACTGTTTTCCATTGTGCAGCATTGTTTTAAGCTTACTGTGTGTGACGCATGAGCGAGGGAGTGCGGAGTGCAAGACACACCGTCATTTACGTGCATGGGCTTCGTGCTCACCATGTACTACAGTCTACATGCACCGTATATAAGTCAAATGCCAGAAAAACATTGAGCCACAGGATCCCAATATCCCAAAAAGCTGGCCCAAAGATGGCAAAAACCCACCCAACCTACCAACCTACCCAACAGGGGCTACTTCACACGAACATGGTGAATACTGCCCTTCTCTCCCATCTCCCAAAAATGTGGTTGCGCCTTCATCATATCGCCAACCAGCATCTGCGCCAACTTTGCCCTGCCCAAGCGGCTTCTCGCTTTCGCCTGGCAAGTTGCGGTCGCCTTCCTTTCAACAAAAAAAAAAAGGCCGGTGGACTGAGGATGGGCAAGTTGATAAGGTGTTGCACCATGCTACGGCATTGAACAAGTGAGGCAAGTATCATGTACGAAGTGAGCAAGAGTCAAACGGCTCAAAGAAATCTGAATCTCTGAGAATTGGAAGGCAAGCGTGAAACCCGTTTCGAACCCGTGTCCGCCCACAATCCAGAAAACAACGAGCGCCATCTTTCTGATCCGAGGATACAAAGAGGCTGCACTTCCGGAGTTAGTAGAAGAGTCACCTGGGTGTGTCTTTGTTTAGGGAACCTTCAAAAAGTGTGGTTTTCCTTGTTGTTCCCTTCAAACAACCGACAAGGAGTACTCCAGAAAAAGACACACCCACCTACTTGTGGGCCTTTTCGAAGGTCTTGAGCTCTCATCACCCGCCGGAAGCTCAGCCTGAGTGACAACTCGTTAGAGAAAGCTCGAACCAAGGGCCACGGAGCTTGAGACTTGGCTTGACCTTATCCATAGATGGCAAGAAAGCATCTCCCACAAACCTTTTCTCGGCAAACCCAACTCTTCCCCTGCGCGCCTTGGAAGCTGCCTGCATGGCAGAGAGGCAGCTGACAATCCCCACACCCATCGACACAAACCAAACGACGGCAATCGATCTTGAAACCCTCCACAGGATGACCTCTTTTGATCCGGAGATTCAAACCAAACCGATACTGGTTACCGACTGCTGCGCTCAAGTGGGCGGCTCGGATGCATGCTTGCTTTTCCAGCAAAAACGGGGCAATGCCAAACAAGCCTGCGGATAAATCGTTTCTGGGATTTACAATGAGGAGGGATGGCCGGACAGTTTGATTGCGCCTGACTGTCCACATGTGCATCCTCAACAGCTATTCTGGGCGCTTCACCAACAGCAAGTCCCCCTCTATGCCTCTGGCTCCTTCTCCGCCTCCTTCTCGTCCTTCGGAGTTGGCTCCTTCTCGGGCTTCGCTTCGGCTTTCGGCTTGGCGGCGCTGGAGGCGCTGGCGACTTGGCCTCGTGAAGCTCTTCTTTGTGGTCCAGAATGCGACTGTGCTCCAGGGCGTTCAGGGAGCCACCCCCCCTCCCCGCCAAACACAAAGAACAACAACCTTGTGGGTTTCTCCAACTGGGGAGGAACCAAAAACAAAATCCTGGTGGGATTCTCCAAATTAAGACCTGGTGGAACCCCCCCTGTTGCCGGCGAGCGGATCCCCGAGGCCGAGAGGCCGAGAGGCCGAGAGGCCAAGAGGCCGAACCGAGGCCCTGGCGCGCCAAGGGCCCGCCGGGCGCCAGGTAGAAGCGCAGCCGCAGCGGCCGAACCTGAGGAGCCACGGAGCTCGAAATCGCTCCACGTTCCAACCCTTGGTGTGGGCTTGCAACAAACTGCTTGTGTGTGTGTGTGTGTGTGTGTGTGTTTTTGCAGCCCCCCACTACGCATAGAGCCAAACGTAGTGTAATTTGGTTGCAAACGGCTAAAAGCAAACAAACTGATGATAAGTTGGAAAGAAACGGAGCCCTTTTCATTCTCCGAACCGATATGGGAATCGAATAAGCTGATGTCTCATTACGGGATTTCTGTCCTGTTCTACAAATGATAGTGAGTACTGACCGCTAGCTCTGACAGTAGCAACAGTCTTATGGATGCGTCGGTCTGTATGGCATGGGCTTTTGGACTGAAGCGATTCGAATCTCACCTCAACTTGTGCTCGATTCAGAGACCGCTGGGCTTCAGCCGGCCAAAGATGCTGAATCTGGTCTCCGTCCAAATCCCCACAAAGGCCGCGTTCTTGCGGCCTTACTTGGAAGTCTCTGAGTCTCCATGACTCCATGAGCTTGGAGGAGTGTACCACTTTTCTTGCCGGCAAGAAAATGGTCTTGCTTGCTGATTGCGCTGATGTTGCTTAGCACATCTCGATGTGTCCCATGGCACTGTTCGCTTTCAATGAAGCTTGCAAAGCAGGGAGGTATACAAGCCGGCCATTTATCTGATTCCAACTTGTCCATGTCCGAACCCAAATGCCCATTGCCCATGCTGCTTCCAAGCAAAAATCCATTCAACCAACAGCTGAGAGCTCCCGACGCAGCACAAATTCTCATCCTTTGCCGAAGCTTCTTTGGACAAGTCCGGGTCCAAACAAAAAAGAACGCTACCGGACACATTTCCCAAAAACGCCTTCCATGAACTCTCCATTCATCCCTTGGAGCATATCACCTGGGCGACCTCCCTACCTCCCTGCGGTCGACCCCATCCCGGGCTCCGGGCAGACTGCAGGTACCGCAGCAGCCCCGCGCCGCTCAAACTCGCCACCGGCTGCCCCGCCACCGCGGCCAGCTCGTCCTTCTCCTCAGCACCCGGTGAAACCACGCGTGGCCCACCGGAAGGAGATGAAAACGACCATGCAGCCAGTTCGTCCCTCCCCCTCACACACACAAAAACAAATGTGTTGTGGACATGAATGAAATCTCATGTGTCATGTGGCCTTCTGGCATGCATGCCGCCCCAAACGACAAATGCACGGTCTTTTCACTACAAGTGAGGCACTGCACATGCCTTGGAATTCGCATCACAGCAGTTTGCCACGGCGGTCCCACATCGCTGCAACACAGCTGCAAGAGAACCACAACTAGTCCAGCTGCGCGGATGCTAGTTGAAGCCGTCACTCATCGGCTGAGTACTCGAAGCTGTCCCACAGCTCACTCAGCGGCACAAGCATCTTGTAACGCGGCATGTTCCTCACGCCATGCGCCCCGAGGTCGTCGTCCTCAATGATGCTGGTGGCAATGTGCCCAGCACCCATCACCTCCAAGACAGGCCCCTTCTGGTCTTGGCCGGGATGCAGCTGCCAGGATGCACCCACCCTTGCTGGATCCGCACGGAATTTGTCCAACTGCCTCTCCTCTTTGGGCTGGAGCCCTACCACCTTTTTGACCGATCCGTGGTTGGCCTCATCCCTCTTCCACTTGTGGTGGTCGTAGAATGCGGCCGACCCGTCCGCCCGCAGGAAGATGAGCTTGCGGTGGTGGTCGTGCGGCTCCTTCCCCGCCGGCGCTGCGCCCTTCGTGCAACTCCAGCGGCCCAGCAACGGCCTCACCACCAGCTCCACCGAGATCTCGCCCGCGGCCGAGGCCGCATCCGAGGATGGCAGCGGGTCACAGGCCTTCAACGGCTGGCCCTCAAACAGCACGGTGGAGCAACTCCCAAGGTGCTCCGAGACGCCATCCAGCTCCAGAATGAGATGCGCCACGCTAGAGCCCTGAGGCAGCACAATGGGCGCACAAACCTGCTCCCCAGCGGCAGCATAAGTAACCTTCACTGCCTGCGACATGCCTGACATCTGTCTTGGCCGGCTACGGTTAAGCCCAACTATGAGCCGAGCACAGCGATGCGTGCGTGGACAGAGTAACGATTTGGGTCGCCGGCTGCTCAAGGTGTTGTTTTTTTCTAGGCCAGGCTTTTTACTGGCCCGGCTCACAAGGCCTCCCCCATGTGGCTCTCCTTGCTTGGGGTTTGGGTGGGCTGCATCCCCAGCATCCCCAGCATCACCGGCCTCGCTCGGACTAGGGATGCCAATTGGCTTTGATTTGTTGGCAGTTCAGAGTTGCTCGTGGCTGGTTTCGGGCGATTTTTGGGCTTGCTGAGGTCTTTTCTATTGGGCGCGGGTCTTGGGTTTGTTTGGGGTTCATTTCGGCTTTGTAAAGGGCTGATATCCAAGGTTGGGAAGGTTGACTTTGAGTCGGTTTGGGTTGGCTTGGAGCTGATTTGCGCGAGGCGTGCGGCCCAGTTTTTGCACTAGCTTTTGGGCTGCTTTAGGGATGTGGTCACGCAAGTTTTGGGCTGGTTTGGGTGGTTTGGGGCAACGCCCCACAACCAATCCCAAAGCAGCCGAACAATTGCACAACGACGCCCTGAAGCAGCCGCCCAACCAACCAACCAACCAACCAACCAACCAACCAACCAACCAACCAACTAACCAACCAACCAACCAACCAGTCCCCGGGGGCAACCGAAACACAAATGAAAACAACCCGCTGAGCTTGAGCCCATAAGAAAAAGCCCCTAACCCACTGGCCCGCACAGGATCTCCTGCAGGCCGCGCACGGCAGCCCAACTGCCCGGGATCACCTGGCAGTTCACCAAACGGACTCAACACTCAGATGCTCTTTTCCTCTGCGCAATTCACCCAACTCCACTTGGCTGTGCCTTGTTGGAGACCCCCTTCTGTTGCTCGGGTTTGAGTTGGAACCAGCTGCAGAACCTCCATTTGGGCTCCAAATCCCCATGAAACCGCCCATGCCCTCTTGCAACGACAGCGCCTTCGAGAGGAGCACCTCACTGGGGGGCTGGCCAGTGGTCAGGAACCCCAGCTCCACGTCCGCCTGGTCGCGGGAATCTAAAGCTTTCGTGTGCACCCGCTTGACATAGAGGCCAAAAACACCCAGCACTCATGAGATGCTTCAGAAACATTCTGTGCCTTTCTGCCCCGGAAAAAAGGAGAAAAAAAACATGAGAAAAGTATATTATGTCCAGTAGTGATAGTTCCTCTTCAAAACCAACAGGGGTATGTGTACTTAAACAAAAAGAGGCACACAGGCCAACCAGACTCGCAGACTCCGGGTGACCTTCTTGTTTGGCAGGCAAGGGCCAGCTTGCAAGCTGGAAGTTGCCTGTCCAAAGTTGGAAGATTTACCGACAACATGACACCACTAATGTTGACCCCATATTAATCAACCCCAGTTTATGAACGGGGGGTGTACCTGGGTTAGTGGGGAATCATCACTTTTGGAGGGGACCACCTCCCCTATTCATAAACAGGGGTTGATTAATATGGAGTCAACATTACATAGTAAAGCGGAGGCTGGTGGGCAGCTTTTCGGCATGAGTCCAACTGAAGACCTAGCAGTTGAGCAATGCAAAAGCGTGGATGCGCTGCCCAGCTCAACATGACTAGAAGCATGCATACTGGAAGCATGCTCTTTAAGGCATGAAAAATATTGTCAGCTGTGTCCGTCGGTAGCTTACATGCTCCTCTCCACCATAAGCTCAAGGGGAACTTGTTGAGACGATAGTTTGATTGCAGCTTTGGGAAAGCAAACTTTGGCCACCTATGCTACCCGACACTCTGCTCGCGAGGCAGCAAGTCAGCTCAGAGCCCAGGAAGTCGATTCAGCTCTTTCGTTCAGGGCTTTGTCTGAGGGCCTCCGTCTGAGTGTATCCCAAGATGGACCCCGTAGACCAACCTATGCGCGAAACCTTCGGAGTGTATCCAAAGATGGACCACCCCATCCAACCTACTGTGGATGGACGAAATCCTGCACCACTTTAAAACCATGGTTGAAACCGCTGTTTGTTGGTATTTACAGTATTTTTGAATCATTATATGGTTTCTCACATGATGCGAACTGGATTTCGTCCATCCACAGTATGCCCCAAACTTGGCTTCCGGAGGCCGACCGCTTCCGACCTCCGTGGCCAGCACATCCAAGCGCCGCTGATCCTAGCGCTCCCAACGCCGGTGGCTCAACCCTCATTGTTTGGGGTTTGGACCCCCCAAAAATGGATTTTGGCCTTCCGGGTGGTCCTCCTTTAAAACCACCAAACAAGGGGTACCTTCCAAAACAAGGAGACACACTGCCGGATGTCCCGACAGGGTTGAATGTGTGTGTGTGTGAATGTCATCGCTTGGGAAATCAACCACAAAGCCCGTGACGTGGAAAACCCTCAAGGCAAGCTCGTCGCAGTCCTCGTCCAGGCCATTGCTTCCTGGCGAATCTCACGCGCAAGTACACGCGAAGCCAGGCGTGCAAAAGCTCAAATCACCCCATGAGGTCCACGTGGAACGTCTCAGACAAAACCTCCCTGCGGCTCCCTCAACGGGCCTTGCCGTCGGAACCGCAAGCGCCTTGACGGCCGAGATTCAGGCGACTGACAATATTCATGCCCCAACAAGGCATTGGGTGAGCAAACGCTGATAATGAACCCATGTTGCTGTTTTGGACCCCAAAAAGGTCTGGTTTTCCATAAAGCCATGACTAATGGCGAATTAACCCATAAACAAGGGGTTCATAAAGTTAGAGGTGACCTTGTTCATCCGCATTTTGCAATCCACCCCTGGGGTACCCTCTACGCTTTTTGGCCTATTTTGAATACACATACTAAAACAACCCATTTTCAACCTTCAACACGAATCACCCAACCAATCCAACCCAAAAAAACACATATTGTCATACCCATCTTCATTCTTTACCCCATCTCAACTTCATCCCTACGCTCATTCAATAACAACATTCAGAACGACATACCATCTCACATCTCCCCAACAAATCCCACCCGAAAAATCAAAGCTACATACCAACAAATTTCAACTCCCGATCTGTATCCCTCAAAATCTCAATATTGTCTCCTGCAATCCAACTTGTGACTCTCACCCATGTTCAACAAATGGGACCAGTCTAAAAACAACCCTATGCTCACTCCCCGAAAAGTGGTCAACCAATAGAAAAAACAATATTCCAAGGGCTAACTCAAATCATGTCAACAATCCAAGTAAAATACATTTGGAGTATTGCTTTTTGTTTGTCATTGGTCTCTATATATGTTCTAAGGGGTGATTTAGATTAAAATTATAGTATATGGCCGCAGCCTGAAATAACCCTGGCTGCTGAGTGGCAACTTGCGGTCCATGTCGTTACGGCTCGACCGATTCGGCGCCGCAATAGGCTCCGCACATTGGCCGAGCACGGCTGCTGATTGCCTGGAGACGGGAGACAAAGACTGGCAAGGAGAAACCACGAACCAGTTCGAAAGCCCGAGGCATTGCAGGCAAGCCAGGAGATTCCTGTTTTCTAGCATGGTGATCACTTTGCTTCACCTGAAACCACTCAAATGGGTCTCTCAAAATGGGCACTTTGAGGGTATAGTCTAGAAAAGGGACACGTCTGTTTTTTCAGGGTTCCCCTTTTTTGGTGGCTTTAAAGGAAAACCAAACGGAAGACCCAAGCCATTTTGGCGGGTGTCCTTCGAAGAACGACCCACCCATGGTCCAAGATGGCTTCAACGGCGCCGAAATCCCCATCGCCTCCTTCAGCGAGGTGCCGGCAAAGGCGCCCACGGCGGTGCCATCAATCCTCGGTCACAGCTCAGGAATGGGTGGCAAAAAGCACACACACACACAAACAAACACAGTGACCGCAAATTTGGCCTTTTTCTGCAAAATGGGTAAGGAGGTGGGTGGGTTGGGGCTTGCGCGATTTTTGAGGGACTGGCGAATCCCGTGCTTCAAATAGGGTTGGAAGATGGGGGTAACTGCATGCCCCACTGGAAAGCAGGCTATCTCCAAACGAAGCTGGGCAATAGTCAAAATCCACAGAACTCTCAGCAACCAAAGCGGAGGCATGCAAACCTGTCTTGCAGCAAAAGGGCGAAATGATTTGGTACAAGTGGAAAAGACCAAAAACAATCCTTCGCAAAAAATCAAAGTGGGCTCAAGTCGATTCGGAAGGAATTGGATACCATCTCATACCTTCTAGCATCGCAGGCACTTACCCTTGGAACAAAAAACGGATCCAACGAGCCCCAAAAAAAATGGCGTCCGAGGCATCGGCGATAGGAGGTGGTCGCCCAGCCTGGCCAGTTGAAGGGTGGCAATGCTGCAAGTCACTCTCCAAAACACAATGCGACAGTTCATAAAATCAATGTCAAGTTCCATTGACGCAGATCCCTAGCAGATAAAGTTTCTGCTTGCATGGAATCAGAGTCACTGGAGCACATCGCACCAAGCCTGCCGCCTGTGGCTCAACACATCCTGCCTGATTCGCATTCTCTGCGCCCACGTACCCGGCTCAACCTCGTTTGGAAAAATAGAAAAACTTTCTCCACTGCAAGGAGGTCCAGCCTTGGCAACCTCCACTGCATTGAAGTTCAACGACGTGGTCCTAGCGGCAAAGAATCTGAGCAAAGAATCCGAGCACATCTGGGCAACCCATCTTGTGGAAGCGCACGATGCTGCGAACTTGGATGCTGCGCACTTGGATGCCACGTTCCCTCAAAGCCGAGGCCCTGGCGTTTCAAAGCCAAGATGTCCATTGTCTGGGGTCGCCACCAGATCCAAGATGCCTGCTTGCACCTTGCGACGTGCAACCGGCCACACTTGAGGCCTCCTAGTGAAGCCTCGAACATGTCGAGCGGATTTGGAGCGCCTTTGCAGGTGCCGTACAGCTATGAGGAGCAGTAAGGCTTTTCAGGGAAGCGAAAGGGCGCAACACGCTCGGAAAACCAGGGCAAAACGTCCTCCCCTGCCTCCTCGTCTTCGATCTCGGTGTCGCGGTTGGGCACTGCAAAGGCCTCGCGTCGCTTAACTCTCACTCACTCCCGTGCGGTTCCCAAGGAGCTGGTTTGCAGTTTCTGGTTGCCCAAAAACAAACGCGGACAAGTTGGAGGCTGGCTGCAAATCCATCCGACCTTCCAGCTAGAAGAAAGAAAGAATTAAATGCAACAAGCGCCAACCTGGAGAATGTCAGACTGAATAAAAGCTTAGGCCATCGGTGCTCTCTGAACATCAGCATGCTGTGAGGTTAAACAACCTTTCCACCAAGAAAGACCGACATTCTTCTGTTGCGCAGTCTCATCTCGCAGTCCCTGCAGAAGGCTAGCACATTGGAGAGCGAATGATGCAGCCCAAAGCTTCAAGGCAACTGAGCTGGTGAAGCGACCCTCCTTCCGCTCAAAGCAGATTCACTGCGTGCGAGCCATCGGTCACTCACTTTCAATATCACGGAGGAAAAGCTGAGTCATTCAC